AGTGGTGTGACGTACCTGGAGCGGTAAAACTTGTAGTCACCTCCCCCAATAATTTTTTTTCACATATAATACTGAGCAAGCTAGCAGATTGGCGCTGCTCCCCCCCCCCCACCAGCCTGCTGCAGTGCTCTGTCCTGCCAATGCAGACTGACAGCAGGACAGAGCAGTAGACAGTGGGCAGGCTAGCGCATCAGGCTCTCTCCTGGCTAGCTAGGGTTGCCAAATCATTCCTTTAAAACTGAACACATATTAATGACACAGATTCTGAGGCTAATTTATTGCAGATAAGGCACTAACATAGCTACATAGTTATATAGTTAGTCTGGCTAAAAAAAAAAGACAAAAGTCCATCCAGTTCAACCTTAAAAAAAAAAAAAAAAGTTATAATCCTACACCCACAGTTGATCCAGAGGAAGGCAAAAAACCCAGCAAAGCACAATCCAATTTGCTCCTGCTGGAAAAAAAATTCCTTCCTGATCCCCCGAGAGGCAATTGGATCGGATCAACTTTCCCTATAAATGTTATATTCTGTGTATCCAAGAAAGAATCCCGGACTTTCCTACAGCAATCCACTGAGCTGGCCACAACCAACTCTGGAGGGAGTCTATTCCCCATTCTCACAGCTCTTACTGTGAAGAAGCCTTTCCATGTTTAGAGATTAAATTTCCTCCAGACATAAACAGTGCCCCCTTGTCCTCTGTGATGACCTCAGGGTGAATAACTCTACACCGAGTTCACTATATGAACCACTGATGTATTTATACATGGAGATCATATCCCCCCCTTATGTATTATACATGGAGATCATATCCCCGCTTATGTATTATACATGGAGATCATATCCTCCCCTTATGTATTATACATGGAGATCATATCCTCCCCTTATGTATTATACATGGAGATCATATCCCCCCTTATGTATTATACATGGAGATCATATCCCCCCTTATGTATTATACATGGAGATCATATCCCCCCTTATGTATTATACATGGAGATCATATCCCCCCTTATGTATTATACATGGAGATCATATCCCCCCTTATGTATTATACATGGAGATCATATCCCCCCTTATGTATTATACATGGAGATCATATCCCCCCTTATGTATTATACATGGAGATCATATCCCCCCTTATGTATTATACATAGAGATCATATTCCCCTTATGTATTATACATGGAGATCATATCCCCCCTTATGTATTATACATAGAGATCATATTCCCCTTATGTATTATACATGGAGATCATATCCCCCCTTATGTATTATACATGGAGATCATATCCCCCCCTTATATATTATACATGGAGATCATATCCCCCCTTATGTACTATACATGGTGATCATATCCCCCCTTATGTACTATACATGGTGATCATATCCCCCTTATGTATTATACATGGTGATCATATCCCCCCTTATGTATTATACATGGTGATCATATCCCCCCTTATGTATTATACATGGAGATCATATCCCCCCTTATGTATTATACATGGAGATCATATCCCCCCTTATGTATTATACATGGTGATCATATCCCCCCTTATGTATTATACATGGAGATCATGGAGATCATATCCCCCCTTAATCTCCTCTTCTCAGTAGAGAATACATTCAGTTCCTCTAATCTTTTCTCATAGCTGAGCTCCTCCATGCCTCATATCAGTTTGGTTGCCCTTCTCTGTACTTTCTCCAGTTCCCCAATGTTCTTTTTGTGAATTGGAGCCCAAAACTGAACTGCATATTCCAGATGAGGTCTTACTAATGATTTGTACCCATTGGGGGGGGGGGTAATGATATCTCTCTCTCTGGAGTCTATACATCTCCTAATACAAGAGAGGATTTTGCTCACTTTAGAACCCGCAGCTTGGCATTGCTGCCATTATTAAGTTTGCGATCTACCACAACCCCAGATCCTTCTCCACCATTGACTCCCCCCCCCCAGTTGTACTCCCCTAGTATGTATGATATATCTTAGCCCCCAAGTGCAGAACCTTACATTTATCAACGTTTAAACCTCATTTGCCATGTGTGCCTGAGAAGCGCCTGAAAAACACCTCTGAGAAGGGTTTTTGGTACAGTTTTTAAGTCAAGTCGTGTCCTTTAAAAACCTCTCAGAAAGCGTGACAAAAGCACAGTAAATGTGCTGCAAAAACGGATATGCGTGTTTTTTGCAGCGGATCAGTGTGAAAGTAGCCTTAGAAAGGAAGGGAGAGAGAAAAAGATGGGAAAGTTAGAGAGGGGAAAAGGTGAAAAGTCCAGAAAACTGAGAATGAAAGAAAAAAAGTGGGTGGAACCAGGGGTAGACTGACCATTTGGAAACTCAGGCACTGCCCGAGGGCCCGGAGGTCAGTAGGGGGCCCCATGAGATGCCCCTGGTACCTTTTTCATAGGCTTTTTTTAGTTTGGGCAAGGACACAGGGGCCCCATGATCCCCTATTGCCCGGGGGCCCCATGAGTTGTCAGTCCGCCCCTGGGTGGGACACATGAGGGCTTCATATTCAGGGGTAGTTGAAAACTCAATCAAATCGAACCAAGTCCAAAAAATCTGCCATAAGTCCCTCTAGTCTACGCAATAAGATCTTCCATTTGTTTGATTTCATTTATTTTGGCTATTCCTAGGGCAATGTAAGGGGCATAAGGCTGATTCCACAGTTATGAGATGCAACTCCTGCTTACAGTACATTAATCAGATGAGGGAGGATGAATCTCATATGTCTTCTGTGGAATAGTATTAGGCCCCTTTCAGATAGGGCGGACTCCACCAAGCAGATCTACATGCTCAGCGAGGGATCTGTCCACTGATCCCCGCTGAGCAGGCAGATGACAGGTCCGTGTCCACTCCTCTATGCAGAGCAGACACAGCCCACTGTCCTCTAAAGGGTGGTCGAATGGCAGCAGACTGCCTGTCCATTTCCATCCAACTGTCACCCCACCCAATATGCTGGATGGACGGGCAACAGATCCCCAACAGTCTGTTTTTAGCAGACCAGAATAAATGCGGGCACATCTGCCTCTCCATAGAGAGCTATGTATGGTCCAATTGGGTCTGCCTGAAAAACTGACAGGTGAACCCGAACGGTCCTTCAGTTTGAAAGGGGCCTTATGGTGCAATGTTGACCAACACACCTGACCTATAATGAGTAATGAGATATGAGGCGGTGCAGTAGGACAATCCAAATACATAAAATCACTCCAAACAACCTATCAATACAGCAAATCCATGCAATTAAAAATGTACACAAATCTAAATGAATAGAACAAGTCACATATAGATATAAAGCACAGTCCACGCCAGCGGTGCTATGGAGTGTCCTACAGTACCACTTCATATCTGATTACTCATTAGAGGTCAGGTGTGTTGGTCAACATTTGTATTAGCTGAAGGTGGCAACAGTGGGATTTTCTTTTCACAGTTAGTCCTCATGCACCCGGGACATTTTGATAACTCAGATAAGGTTAGCTGTGTAAAGTCATGCTACAAAACGTGAGTTTTTCAGCTTTTCTTTAGATTTTCTGCATTAGCATTTAGCGGTGTTTTGCTGCGTTTAGTGGCAATTGCGTTTTTTTTTTAACCAAAAGAAAAATTTGGGGGGTCAACAAAATGTCCAAAAACACCGGTTTGCAACGTTTTGCCGTGTTTTTCAGCATTAGAGCGTTTTTACAGCTAAAAAAACACCTCTAGAAACCTACTAGTCCTGGACACATAGGATAACGTGCCGGGGATGGACACATAGGAGAACGTGCCGGGGATGGACACATAGGAGAACGTGCCAGGGATGGACACATAGGAGAACGTGCCGGGGATGGACACATAGGAGAACGTGCCGGGGATGGACACATAGGAGAACGTGCCGGGGATGGAGACACAGGATAACATGCTGGGGATGGACACATAGGAGAACGTGCCGGGGATGGACACATAGGAGAACGTGCCGGGGATGGAGACACAGGATAACGTGCCGGGATGGACACATAGGAGAACGTTCCGGGGATGGACACATAGGAGAACGTGCCGGGGATGGACACATAGGAGAACATGCCGGGGATGGACACATAGGAGAACGTGCCGGGGATGGACACATAGGAGAACGTGCCGGGGATGGAGACACAGGATAACATGCCGGGGATGGACACATAGGAGAACGTGCCGGGGATGGACACATAGGAGAACGTGCCGGGGATGGACACATAGGAGAACGTGCCGGGGATGGACATATAGGAGAACGTGCCGGGGATGGACATATAGGAGAACGTGCCGGGGATGGACACATAGGATAACGTGCCGGGGATGGACACATAGGAGAACGTGCCGGGGATGGACACATAGGAGAACGTGCCGGGGATGGACACATAGGAGAACGTGCCGGGGATGGACACATAGGAGAACGTGCCGGGGATGGACACATAGGAGAACGTGCCGGGGATGGACACATAGGAGAATGTGCCGGGGATGGACACATAGGAGAACATGCCGGGGATGGACACATAGGATAACACGCCGGGGATGGACACATAGGATAACATGCCAGGGATGGACACATAGGATAACATGCCGGGGATGGACACACATAGGATAACACGCCGGGGATGGACACATAGGATAACACGCCGGGGATGGACACATAGGATAACATGCCGGGGATGGACACACATAGGATAACATGCCAGGGATGGACACACATAGGATAACATGCCGGGGATGGACACATAGGAGAACATGCCGGGGATGGACACATAGGATAACATGCCAGGGATGGACACATAGGATAACACGCCGGGGATGGACACATAGGATAACACGCCGGGGATGGACACATAGGAGAACATGCCGGGGATGGACACATAGGATAACATGCCGGGGATGGACACATAGGAGAACATGCCGGGGATGGACACATAGGATAACATGCCGGGGATGGACACATAGGATAACACGCCGGGGATGGACACATAGGATAACACGCCGGGGGGATGGACACATAGGATAACATGCCAGGGATGGACACATAGGATAACATGCCGGGGATGGACACACATAGGATAACACGCCGGGGATGGACACATAGGATAACACGCCGGGGATGGACACATAGGATAACACGCCGGGGATGGACACATAGGATAACACGCCGGGGATGGACACATAGGATAACACGCCGGGGATGGACACATAGGAGAACATGCCGGGGATGGACACATAGGATAACATGCCGGGGATGGACACATAGGAGAACATGCCGGGGATGGACACATAGGATAACACGCCAGGGATGGACACATAGGATAACATGCCGGGGATGGACACATAGGAGAACATGCCGGGGATGGACACATAGGATAACATGCCGGGGATGGACACATAGGAGAACATGCCGGGGATGGACACATAGGAGAACATGCCGGGGATGGACACATAGGAGAACATGCCGGGGATGGACACATAGGAGAACATGCGGGGGGTTTTTGCTGGCTGTAGAAAAAAAAAATGTCAAAACCTAAAAACAACCGCTGTAAAAACGTCACGTGTGCAGGAGGACTTACCAGTGTTATTTGCATTTGGGAACACATTCATAAAATTATTGTTTGCTGAGTTCAAATATTTACTTGTACACATAGTGAAGTTCCTTTTAACTAAAAGTGTGGGTGCTTATAAATTGTATTATGGTGGAAGAAACAGAATGCTGGGCCATCTGGTAATGGAAACTGCATTTTTTATAGATGTGGCGCACCTCTGCCCAAAATTGTTGCAGAGATAGGCAAGACCAGAAAATATGCAAAGTATTTCCAGGTGCTGCTCCACATCTCCAGCACAAGTCAGATATCACAGAGATCATGAGGTGCAGGATTTGCGATTTCCTAAACCAGCATGCAAGGATCTTGAAACTGGATTGGATATTCCATGCATATTGATGTTTTGCATATGTAATGCATTTCTTATTCCTTTGTTGCAGTGTCAGTTGTGTCTGTTAGTCTCTTTCCTAAGTGGAATGAGATTGTTAGGTAGCTAAAACTTGGGATTCCCTGTCCACTTTGTTTACAAACATAATCAGGAACTGTTGTAATTTTTTATTCCTGCCGCCAACATGGCAGCATACATGTGGTGGTAGTTTCTCCTATTTCCGTCCCCAGGACCAGTGCAAAGCTAGAAAGATTTAACGCCCACACAAGAGCCTATTCCCTTTATTGTCCTCATGGAACTCACAGTCAGAGTGAAGAGAAGAAACCCTTACCTGCCACCTTTGGTGGTTTTCTGCGCAGGTTCAACCTCTCCTATAGCGCAGTCCCCAGGGGCGGACTGACAACTCATGGGGCCCCCGGGCAATAGGGGATCATGGGGCCCCTGTGTCCTTGCCCGAACTCAAAAAAGCCTATGAAAAAGGTACCAGGCAGGGGTGGACTGACAACTCATGGGGCCACCGGGCAGTAGGGGATCATGGGGCCCCTGTGTCCTTGCCCAAACTCAAAAAAGCCTATGAAAAAGGTACCAGGGGCATCTCATGGGGCCCCCTACTGACCCCGGGCCCTCGGGCAGTGCCCGAGTTTCCAAATGATCAGTCCGCCCCTGGCAGTCCCTGACCTTGGGATGCTAAATGATCTCACAAGTCAGGGAACCCCTTCTATGGATTTTTTGCTAACTATCCCCACATACAGCAGTGCAGCTAGGGCACTTAAAAATGCTGTCCATGTCTGGAGCCTGCCTCCCAGAAGTGAGTGGATCAATGAAACTGTGACACCGCATTTCCAAGATAAGTATGTTTTTTTTTCTTGGTTAATTTATCTGTGAATGTCCTCATAAGTTGTGTGTTACATCTCCTCTCAGATGGACTGCAGCTGCATTGTGTCCCAGTGTCCATTCTAGTAGCAATTGTGGAAGAAAAAGCTAAGCGTTTTCATTCAAGTGAATAATGTGTTATGCTGAACATGTGAAGTGGATAGAGCTCACATGACAGCCATCTTTGGTTTGGGCAAGTACTCCCCCACTTGCCATTTTGGCCAAGACTGCCTGAAAGCCATCTTGGAAATGGGCGAGGTGAGATGTTGCCAGGAGTTGGAGGCAAGCATAAAAGTTGGGAAACATGGGTTTAAAGACCCAGAGGCTTATAGATAGGGCATTCATAGGATGGGACTGCATGCCAGCACGCCCATATCCACAAACCCTGAGGGTCATTTCTTGATAACTAGCAGATATATATGCCCTTGCTTATGTCTCAGTGCTGCATTATTATTTTACTTGACTAAATGTTAGTGTTGCAGCTCCCCTGCACTATGAGCTCACTGCATAACAAAGATCTACATGGTTCCTATAAGTAAGGACCATCAGTCCAGGTAGATATTTTTACTACTAAAAGTATGCATTCAGGTGCTAATGGACCTCTCCCTCAGCTAAGGAGCCCAGCCCGTCCCACTGACAGGAATATACATGAGAAACACACCAGAAGTCCAGTCTAGGATATAGAAAATCCTCTTCCATACTGAGAACTCCAACCCTATGGCCTAAAGTCTGTGTCAGGACTACCATAAACAGGCAGATAGAAGCTCTCCTGCCCACTATGCTTAGCTTCAAGGAACTGCTGTGAATCCTGGGTGCAGCTGCATTTACAAGGGAAATAATGTGCCAAGATTGCCTTAAAGAGGTGACAGAAGCTCTTCTGCCCACTATTCATAGCTGCAAATGATTGCTCTGAGACTGAGTGAAGTTATCATAGTCAAGTTATTGCAAATAACTCAAACTGCATTCCAATACTGTTTCTACCAACTGAATAAAGCCTCCCACAGCAGAGAGCAGGCCAACTTCTGCTGCCAAGGAAGAACAGTGTCAGGGACGCGCTGACCATAGTGCAAGGGAAGCTCCAAGGCGCCACTGATACTGGAGCCAAGTGACCTATTTAAGTGCAGCAGCTGGGCTACTAGCTCTTCCTGTGTTCCTTCACCTGTTCCTGTACTTGATTCCTGTGATTGACCTGACCACATTTGAATGCTACCTGCACTAACCTCGGCTTGTTCTCCGGAATCTGCCTCTGTCTGATCTGCCTCTACCGTTGCTGACACTGACCTGTGACCCGACTTCTCTCCTGCCTGCCATTTATGCTTTATCTGCCCATCTGCTACCGACCCAGCTTGTCCGACCCTGCATACTGCTCATCCACCCTGCTTTTATCAGCCTGCCCTGTAGTGCCATCTGCCTGCTGCCAGCCTGTCTGCTACTAGCCTGCTCTGCATTGCTATCTGCCTGCTTCCAGCCTGTCTTCTACCAGCCTGCCCTGCTGTGCCATCTGTCTGCTACCAGCCTGTCTGCTACCAGCCTGCCCTGCTGCACCATCTGCCTTTTACCAGCCTGCACTGCTGTGCCATCTGCCTGCTGCCAGCCTGTCTGCTACTAGCCTGCTCTGCATTGCTATCTGCCTGCTGCCAGCCCTGTCTTCTACCAGCCTGCCCTGCTGTGCCATCTGCCTTTTACCAGCCTGCCCTGCTGTGCCATCTGCCAGCCTGTCTGCTACTAGCCTGCTCTGCATTGCTCTCTGCCTGCTGCCAGCCTGTCTGCTACCAGCCTGTTCTGCTGTGTCATCTGCCTGCTGCTAGCCTGTCTGCTACCAGCCTGCCCTGCTGTACCATCTGTCTTTTACCAGCCTGCCCTGCTGTGCCATCTGCCTACCAGCCTCTCTGCTACCAGCCTGCTCTACTGTGTCATCTGCCTGCTGCCAGCCTGTCTGCTACCAGTCTACTCTTCATTGCCATCTGCCTGCTGCCAGCCTGCCCTGCTGTGCCACCTGCCTGCTCCCAGCTGCTCTGTTTCCTGATGTCCTTCCAGCGAGGTGTCAGCTACTCCCTTGCAGACCACGGGACTGATACCTTGCCGTGCTCTCATGGTTACTGTTCCACTATCAGTGGCCAATGCATATATCCATAGGGTGGTACTATGGATGAACCATTCATAAACTGTGGCACGTCCTATAAATGATTGAGAGAGAGGTCAGGGCTAAATGGACTTTGTAGGCATATATTCATCAAGCAGATATGTAATAAAGTCTTCATTCTCTTCAATACAAGAATCACATATACAAAAGGACAAAACAGTATTGCCTAAAAGTGATACCACTTACAGTATCTCACAGAAGAAATGACACTTTGCTACAATATGACGTAGTCAGTGTACAGCTCATATAACATGTAAATGTGCTGTCCCCTCAAAATATCTCAACACACAGCCATTAATGTCTAAACCGTTGGCAACAAAAGTGAGTCCACCCCTAAGTGAAAATGTCCAAATTGGGCCCAAAGTGTCAATATTTTGTGTGGCCGCCATTATTTTCCAGCACTGCCTTAACCCTCTTGGGCATAGAGGTCACCAGAGCTTCACATGTTGCCTCTGGAGTCCTCCAACCACTCCTCCATGATGACATCAGGGAGCTGGTGGATGTTAGAGACCTTGTGCTCCTCCCCCTTCCATTTACAGATGCCCCACCAATGCTCAATAGGGTTTAGGTCTGGAGACATTCTTGGCCAGTCCATCATCTTTACCCTCAGCTTCTTTAGCAAGGCAGTGGTCGTCTTTGAGGTGTTTTTGGGGTCATTATGTTGGAATACTGCCCTGCGGCCCAGTCTCTAAAGGGAGGGGATCATACTCTGCTTCAGTATGTCACAGTACATGATGGCATTCATGGTTCCCTCAATGAACTGTAGATCCCCAGAGCCGGCAGCACTCATGCAGCCCCAGACCATGACACTCCCACCACCATGGGGCCCCAGACCATGACACTCCCCACCACCATGCTTGACTGTAGGCAAGACACACTTGTCTTTGTACTCCTCACCTGGTTGCCACTACCCACACTTGACACCATCTGAACCCAATCAGTTGATCTTGGTGTCATCAGACCACAGGACATGGTTCCAGTAATCCATGTCCTTAGTCTTCTTGTCTTCAGCAAACTGTTTGCGGCTTTCTTGTGCATCATCTTTAGAAGAGGGTTCCTTCTGGGATGACAGCCATGCAGACCAATTTGATGCAGTGTGCGGCGTATGGTCTGAGCTCTGACAGTGAGACCCCCCCACCCCTTCACCCTCTGCAGCACTGCTGGCAGCACTCATACGTCTATTTCCTAAAGACAACCTCTGGATATGACGCTGAGCATGTGCACTCAACTTCTTTGGTGGACCATGGCGAGGCCTGTTCTGAGTGGAACCTGTCCTGTTAAACCGCTGTATGGTCTTGTCCATCGTGCTGCAGCTCAGTTTCAGGGTCTTGGCAATCTTCGTATAGCCTAGGCCATCTTTATGTAGAACAACAATTCTTTTTTTCAGATCCTCAGAGAGTTCTTTGCCATGAGGTGCCATGGTGAACTTCCAGTGACCAGTATGAGAGAGTGAGAGCGATAACACCAAATGTAACACACCTGCTCCCCATTCACACCTGAGACCTTGTA